TCTTTTTTTTCTTAATTTTAAATCCGTAAGACTACGTCGAGGTGGCAATTTGAATTGATTGGTTCTTATTTTCGTCACTGGTTACATTTCCATGATTGTTTTTTCTTCGTAATTTTTAATTTGTGCTATTTGAAAATTAATTACATTTCTCCCGTCTCATTCCAAGCCACTAATTCGTCGTGTCAATTATAATGGCGTCGCCCTCCCCGTAAGAGAACTATTTCCAGCTAAATCTCGCCGTAAATGGACAACGGTGAGCCGAGGGCAGCATTAATATTATATCACGTGGAAATATGCAAATTAGACACTTTTAATTGTACCCCTTGCGGATACGACACAAAACTACTAAATCGGAGGAAGTTTCTATCATCATTACAGGGTGGTCCGAAAGTTCTGTCATTCCTTAATAAAACGTAATGCGAACAATAGAAGTAGTAATATACTAATACAAAGCACATGTGCTGGATTCAGGTATTCACGTTGATTGACCTTGTCCCACACCCAGAAGGTCCGTACGAAGACAATCGTTTTCGTGGCAGCCATCTGAAATAGAAAATTATATTATTTATAGGTGACAAAACTTTCGGACCACCCTGTAATTTGAAGACGATTACAATATTTTTCTTCTCCCATCCACCATTTTCTGCACCGAGAACCGCAATGTTACCTGAACATATCTTTTTTCTGCTCTCTCGATTTCACGTCCCTTAAACACGGGGTTAAAGGACGCATGGGGGCACCACATTTTCTACAGCCGGAAAAGCAGAGCAAGATAGCCCAACCATCTCGAAGCTGGTTTGGATTCAGTTTTCCTTCATCTATACTGGTTACCAACCAAAACTATAAATCCCAGTGGTATTCGCCCATAGCGATAGATTCATACCATTCTTAAAGGTATTTGCGCGTAAGTGAATACAACGAATTCAAGAGAAATTCGAACACTTCTCTGATTTCTTAACCTGAGTTGATTTTCATTACACCACCGCGCATCCAATTTCTCTGCTCTACTCACATCAAAAATTTACTCTGTGTGATTTTTTTTTCTTTTATACAAACTCTGCACCTTTTCTAGGACAATAATACACATTTTCTTTCTTCTAAATATTTATTCTAAGCACCTCCTGTGTATTTTTTATTCTTTTACCCCAAGTAATGAAAAGATACCACAAAGGCACAGCGGGGGGGTGGATACAGGGAATGAAATAGACCCTGGCTAGCACCCAGGAAGTGACCTCAATTGCACAGTTGCCCAAGGAACATCGCGAAAGAAATGAATTACGACCAAGAAGCTTAAATATTTCTCTAAATAAAAAAGTGGTTGATTTGCGCAAAAACTTTACCCACAGCTTTTATCAAAATGTTTTCAAGGAATACCTGTGTTATTACGGTATCTGAGCTTTATTTGGCAGAAAACCACAAGTATAGGGTACCCTGTGAGGATCCAGTTCCTTAGACCAACTCAGACACTCTTGCAAGCCATGATACCACACCGAGGCGCTCTGTACGAGAATAATGTTGAACGTCGAATGAGGTGAAAACTAATGTTTAATCAGGTTTTTTTTATTATTCCCTCTCTTGACAGAATTTGAAATTACCTGTGTGCCTCTCTTATGCCCAGGACGCATTTGTTAACTGCCCTATTTAATGCCTAAATATTTGCCTGATTAAATCAAGGGATATATCGAGACTTGCGTACAGCAACACGTTATTGCATTAAAGAAGCAATTTATGACAGAGAAAAAATATTTGCATTTGTGTGCCCCCTTAGAAATGTGTCAATCTGGGAATTTTCGGATGCGTTGAAGCTTATAATAGCTTTATTTTATTTTCTTGTATTGGATTTACGTTGGGAAAAATTTAGGGTTAATCTCAAGGGAGAGTGTATGAAAAAGTTTCCAAAAGTTAAATATCCTTTTTTTTCCCCCCAGTTGCTCCTTCTCTCGATATAGAAGTTTGGATTTTTGCTGTGTGTTAGTTTCATTCAATCATAAGTTTTTAATTTAACTCACAAGTGTGAGCAGACTAGTCTATATTGGATGATATTTATTCATGACAAAAAAAGTCTACGTTCTCAAGCCGGTATTAAGAAAAAGAGTTGATTAAGGATAAAAGCTATTAACTTATAGTTCCTTTTACGTATGACCCAAACAAACAATATTTTTTCTCATTCTTGACAAGAATGCATTCTTTTCCCTGGTTTCTTTCTTTGTACCACCATGATTAAAAAGGAACTCTCCTAAAACACAGGCAAACAAGTTTTCGTAAAAGAACTACGTGTAATTTCCAATTTGTGTTAACAATGTATGTACGAGAATTTTTTTTTTATTTTATTCAGTCTAGGAAACTAAACATCGTTTTATTTCTGTCTTCATATTGGAACTTGATGTTGGCTTTCTCTAGATTCCATACGTTCAGAAAGTCTTGCTTCTTTTACAGTTTTTAGACTTTGCAGTAGTTCATGAGTTTTTCAAAACGTTCCCTGGTAAGTTAGTGATATAATGGAATATGCATACACCTGTGTTCCCCCTCACTGGAATATGATTGGCTGGTGCCCGTCATAAATACCGACGGACGTGTAGGTACGAGTGTCAAGAGCCTTAGTCTGAGAGCTAAGTCTATAACGACGCCCATTGGACTACGCCATTGTTCTACACTTCTTAGCTGCGACTACGACGCGTACCAGTCGATTACTGCTACCATATTCTACTTGGTTATAGTAGCCAAAACCACTTAGCTACTTCGTTCAAATATATCCCTTTCCGGGACATATCAGTTAGCGACAGCTTTCTTCTGTTTCTCTTCGCAGTGAGAATTAAATTCTCTGAACACTCCTTCCCCATTATATGTCCCTAATAGTTGAACTGTTTCGTTCTACTTGAAAAAAACTGTTCATTGTTTTTCCTTTAATGTTTGGTTATGTGTTCAAGGCTATAGTGATCTTTCTAAGCGTATCTTAGATTTGGCATAAGGCTGAAATTATGGAGCAACCAATGAGGATTGAACACAGTCGTAATTGATTAAGCGATACGAGCTTGCTAACTATTATGCCAAATCGAAATGTCCATATTTGTTACATGCTATGTCAGTTAATAATATTCTCAAAATGAATCTGAGATGGTCGTCTCTCAGTCGCTTCAAATCTTTTCTTTCTTTGTAACACAATTGTCCAGGCTTATTGCCATCAATAAAATTGTAACTAAGGTTGCTCATGTTGACTTGATAAAACGAATACTTGGAGCACTATATATATATATATATATATATATATATATATATATATATATATATAATGATACGAATTTTTCCGTACGCCCAATTGAATGCATTACATGAGACCGGAATTAAAATTGGAGTTCAGTACGTAAATGAAGAAAAATTGCTGATGCATTTCCTCGTTATTTCCCCTTTGGTGACGCTTCAAGTACAAGCGATTAAATTTTGCAATATGTGTAAGCGATAATCCACTGATCCACTGTGAACAGGATGCGCGCGTAACGTAGGGGATATCGCCACAGAAAATGAGATGGACTCCAGACGAGACCGTTTCTGGAGCTATCGCACAAATACCGTTTAAAATTATGAAACCATATCTCCCCGACTTCCCAGGCAGCGGCTAATATCAAAGCAAACTGGGCTGTCGAGCATTGTGCCTCATGGAAAATGAAAACTCAAAGTTCAAAACTGGACAAAAGAGAAATAGACTCTGTCAAGTTGTCTAGCTAGATCACTGCAGTTAGTGCTACAGCACCCCTGTTATTCTTATGGATTATTGATTGATTCGTATTTTTACGGATATTTTTTAACTGTACGGTTCACCCTGTACAAGGTCCGGGGGGGCACTCGCCCCATTAAGAGACAATTTATACAGGTAGGAGGGGAAGATAACAACTAACTATAGACTTGAACCCACTGAGGGTTATTTAATGATTATACCTATTTCTTATTGTAAGAGGTCGCTAGCATTACCCACTGATACCCCTTCTAAGCACTGGCCATTTTGACACTGTTTACATCGAAGGGGAAACAAGGTTTCAGCGTAATTTGACCGAAAGCATCTTGTGCCATGACGTGAACATCGTGTGAGAGTGAAACTCGAGTTACGTCCAGAGCCATTCTTTCATAGGATTTAATGCAGTTAAGTCTCTTTTTCTTTTATTTATTTATTTATTTTTATTTTTTTTGGGCTCGGTCTAGTCAATCTAGGCTTCGAATACGTTACTGGGTTGATAAGTTTGCCTTCAGGCTGTATTTATTTTTTATTTTTATTTTTATTTTTTTTTTTTTTTTTTGGCTCGGTCTAGTCAATCTAGGCTTCGAATACTTTACTGAGTTGATAAGTTTGCCTTGAGGCTGTTTTTATTTTTTATTTTTTTTGGCTCGGTCTAGTCAATCTAGGCTTCGAATACTTTACTGAGTTGATAAGTTTGCCTTTAGGCTGTTTTTATTTTTTTTTTTTTTTTTCGTTCTTCTTCAGTATTTTAATTTTTATTCAAAACTGTAACTGGATAAATATTTAGGATTTGGAAAGTTTTCCCTTGTTTCCATCAACGGTTTTTGTTATATATATATAATATTAGTGATCAGTATATATATTTCCAAAAGGATATAAATCTGTTAGAAACAGAGCATTAATTATTCTTAAAAAAAACACACTAAAACTTCATAAGGTAATAATTTATTTCATTAGGGTCGTAAAAACGGCCCCAATTTATCAGACCTTCAGATCCAAAATGAAACAGAAAATATTTCTCCAGGTTTAAATAACAAAGGAGAAATATTTTCTCTCTCCTTTTGGATATGAAGGCCTAATGAATTGGGACTCTTGTTACGACCCTAATGAAATAAATTATTATCTCATGAAGTTTTAGTGTTTGTGCCTTTTATAAGTATAATACGCACGCACACACACACATATATATATATATATATATATATATATATATATATATATATATTGTGTGTATTTGTTTATATGTACAGAAAATAAGTAATTAAAATTTATGTCTCCTTATTTCTTTCTTTTGCAGGTAAGTGTATGTTTCTGTTGCAAGCCTCTTTCGTCTGCCATTCTAAAACGGAAAATCTCGAATCTTTCTCCAACGCATGGGTAAGTTGATGTCTTGTCAGAATTACTGAAAACGACCAAAAATTAAATCTAATACGATTCAAATATTTTTTGAAGATTAAAAAAAAGCGGTGAACGTTAAAATACGAAAGAACATTTAAAAAAAAATAGAATAACTGCTTTAATCTCAGAGATCCAATATGGACGTCACTGCTACTAAAAATTATCCAGAATTCGGCTGGTTAAGCGAAAGCGATCGATACTTTAAAATCAAATGAGAGACAGACAAAATAACTGACGGGAAAGTGTAAAAAAAAAAATCGGTGTATATTCGTGGAAAGGGTTTAAACTATCTGTTTAGATGAAGAGAGTCATTAGGTTTATATTGAGACCTTTCAGAGTAACATTTTGATCCGGGACTTCATTTGTTAAGCAGAGCTCTTTCTTTCCTTCTTTTATTTCTTCTTTTCTTTCTCCCTTTTTTTCTTTCTTTTTCTCCCTTTTTTTCTTTCTTTTTCTCCCTTTTTTTCTTTCTTTCTCCCTTTTTTTCTTTCTTTCTCCCTTTTCTTTCTCTCACCTTTTTCGTTTTCTCGTTCTGTTCTTTTCATTCTTCATCTGCTTATTTAATGGTAATATTGCAAAATTTAACGATATTTTATATCAGCATTTATTTTTTTTATTATTTAATCGAATTGAAATCCGAAAAAGTAAATTCTGAAGAGCCCTTAAATGCCCCGGTTCTTAATTAAACACTGAAATATTTGAAGATGTTTTTAAATTCTCAGAAGTTTTCTCATTTTTTAATCGTTAACGTCTTCTCTCTTATGTAATTTTTAACAGAACCTTTTTCTGCTTTTCTCTTTAGATCCCCTTTTTAGACGATTCATTCTTCAGCCCTTGAAATAAACTGCGATAATTTAGTATAAAATCTCCAACTCTTCCGAGATTTCCAGGAAATCAATTAAACTCTACATTACCATTTTGATCGCAGATAAATTCATTGTTTGGTATTAATTCATTTACATTAGCTGTAATATATCTAATTTCTCGTGTGCTGTGTCTTTTAAGATCGTGAGTGCTTATGGCTCTCCGCAATTTCTTGTTTTCTGTTGCTCGAAGTAACTTTTTATCTTTTATCATTCATCATTGCTATCATGCGCTTTATTCTATGCATTTACTCGACCACTAAAGTGAATTACTTACTGTTTTTCCTTGCTTCTCTTGCCTTTGTCCTGTGGGTGTTAAATTCTCCAAGTCTTCTTCTTTTTTTTCCTTTTGTGTCCAAAAGATTTTATTCTCTTCCTGACTGTTAGCAACATTTTTTTTTCTTATAGTTTCTGTCGCGATTCAAACTTCCGTATTTCTCATATGCATTGTTTTTGGTATTCCCAGCATTGGCCGGAAGATCAGCTTTTCAATTCTGTTCTTCATCTGTAACGAACTTCTCAATCATGTACTGCCGTATAAAATATCGGTTACTGAAGGACAATGTAGGATTCTTGTATCCCATTTTTAACAGCAATTTTCAATCTCCGAGAAAAAGCAAACAAAATGGTTTTGTTAAACAAAAACCAGACTAACAATAACGTTTTCAGTGGCCTAACGAGTAGGCGTCATACAGGGAAGACGAGATCTCCTGGTATGGATGCAGTTTCGACGAAATATACACATTCGCTGCTTGCTTGGCTGTTTGAAACCTTACACAAGGACAGTTGTTAGTTACCATTAGAAATTGATATATAGGACTAACTATGATTGTTTTTTTTTTATATAGGAACAAAGCGTCGCTGCCGACACTTGATTTTGAACATAAATCGCCAGCGAACAAAAACAGGCGATCCCATTGTTGAATTAAGTAGACCATGTAACCATAGAGGAAACGCATATGTGGGGGTAGCGTGTGTCTAATTGATCGCTATCTCTAGTCTATCCTCTATACTATATGAATCACCATTTTTATTTTATCCTTCATTAATATATGGACCGCTATACGGGTTATCGTGCAAGTACTATTAGTGCATCTCACACCAGTATTGTTCAACGGCGTTAATATAGTTGTATTTCTGATTACAAAGTCTCTACTATAACGAGCATTATGAAAGTGACAACGAGTATTCGTTGATATTGCAAAAGTGGCAACGAGTGTTCGTTGGCATCACAAAAGATTTATTTTGGCAAATAATATTAAATTTAATTAAACTTTCACTGCTTCCTTGGATATTTTATTCTTTACTTAAGGCCATCTCGCTTTTTGTTTCGAAATACCTTTAGAAGTATCTTTTATACGACTTCGTATGTTTTATTTTGGTAAAAAAAGTATATTTGAAGATCTTATTAAATCTTATTAATATGTGTTTTCTAATAGGATTTCTCGAATATTGAAGGGGTAGACGAAAATATATAAATAAATAAATAAATATACTATTTAATAAATAAACGGAAGTCTACTGAAATACGAGTATCCACGAAAACTAACATTTGAAGTAATAAACATTCTCTTTGTTTACGTTTGGATACGAAATATTGCAGGTATGAATAAAACCTAGAGATTCTATGCTGGAACGAGTTTCGCTTGAAAGCCGTAAATTTGGTCTCACGTAACCGACTGCTCTTAGTGGCTTAATTGTTGCACGTTAGTTTTGAAATTTCTGGCCTTTTTTTTGTGATTTTTTTCTAAATTTCTTTCTACAGCTGTAGCGTAATTAAGCTGTGTTTTTATTAAAGACTAGCAGTAGAGCACGGTGTTGCCCGGGGATGTAACAGTAAGAGATAGATCAAGTATCGACCATCATAAAGACTGAAAAATAAAATTGACAAAGATTATTGTTTAAGGTTGACGGGCACGCATGCCTTAATTAGTTTTAATTTTTTTTTTACGAACTCAAACAAAAACATTGTTTTCAACCGTTATGAGTCTACCGATTGAATAGAATTTAATTATAAAGAATTGTCTTGTAAATGGAATTTTTTAAGCATTCTGAACGTAAAAATAAAGAAAAAGTGTGCAAGACAATAAGAAACACTAACTGCCAAAAAAAAGGTGAAGTTTTTTTGAAATCGGTTGAAAAATGTAGGAAATCCGATCCCATATATAAACGAACACACAAACAACCAACATGGGTTTTATAATAAGTATAACTCGATACGAGTTGTCCTCCTTTCATTAATGCCTCTTAATCATGTTTTCAAATTGATTTAGTGCAAAAACAATTGTTTTTTAAATTTTTGGCGCTGTCAGAACCACCGCAAGCTAATTTTACGTAGTCCTGTGAAGTTTTGTTGAAATCGGTTGAAAAATATAGGAAACCCGATCCAGTATATAAACGTACAGACACGCACACGCACACACACACACACACACAATCTGCGTTTTATAATAAGTAAGATCTTGTATAATTCGTAATTTTGGGGGAAGATTTCCAAGCAACGACAAACGATATTCCATGCAAACAAAAAACAGACTATCATTATTGCCATGTCCATGTATTGTTTAATATATTGTAATGTTATTGTCATCTTTGATGATGCCTTAAGTAAGCCGAAAGCTTAGATGGGATTAAAAACATGTATCAATATCGTGTTTTTCTTTCGTCTTTCAATGATAATGTTATTAAGCTTATCAGACGGTATGAAAGGAATTTACATAAAATAAATAGACAAAACTTGTCTATATTATTTTATATATATATATATATATATATATATATATATATATATATATATATATATTAAAATGACAATAGGAAAACTGTAGTTATTGCTGACGCGTTTCGGCCAATGTGGACTTTCTCAAAGCAAAAAACGAAATGAATTTAATTTAAGGAAAGTAACTAATAATAACAAAAAACCGAATGTTCTTAGCAACTGGAGGAATGTAGAGAACGCTATTTTCATATTGTTAACTGAAAATAACGTCAGTTATTGTCACGTGTGGAGAATATTGTCATAACTGTGTTGGCGGATTCAACCATTTTCTTTTGATTTAAGATAATCTGATAATAATAATTTTTCTTACATACATATATATATATATATATATATATATATATATATATATATATATATATATATATATAATGTATATATGGGTAGCCTACAGGGAATTTTGAACTGAAGTCTTTATTTTATCTACGATGGTAATCGTTTCATTCTACTGCCCATGTCTAGGGTTATCATGTAATTCTTATTGCTATTACTACTATTATAATATTTGCATATTTCTTACCAGTTTCCACTGAGCCCAAATACACAATGTGAATGTCTTAAAATATGACTCACCTTCCAAAACCGATTCTATTCTTAGTAACGATTTTCTCTTAGACTGACGTACACCATAAGAAGACTCTCCAAATTTTCTTTAGCATTAAAATGAATTATTAATAAAATGTCTTCTGTTCATTTAGAACGCAACGGAATTTTTGAAGATTGCTCAGTTTCATGGTAATGCAACCCTAAAGTGGTCACAAATTTTAAGTAAATGTAAACAGTGCAGACACTCGAATCCGAAGATGCCAGCCTACTAGCCTAGTTAATCCCCATTGTAGACGCCTGCTTAGGCATATTTGTGTTTGTTAAACACCCACTGAGTCTACCTGTGGTTTATACTTCATCTATAACTTAGTTACAGTTTCCGTGAGAGCGCACGCTGTGTAGCGTGATGAATAGTCTGGAAAAGGCCAGACCACTCAAACCCTCGGTCACGATGACTTACGGCTAACACATCTACCGATGGCTCCTGAGGGTTCTGTCTACTCATTTTTTTCTCAAAAATCTTGGTATGGTTTTCAGGCACTCGCCTCTTCTGGTATCATTCGAACGTTCTCGTCCCTCGGTTACGTGCCTATTCACCAATTCTACGGCATCATGAAATGGCATTTTGTCATAAGAGACAATACAGTAGTCGACTTTTCGAATTGTGGAATTGTTTTCTTAAAAGAATGTGTGTAAAAACGTTCTACTTAACAAAATTACAAATTGGCATTGTAGTAAATTTCATTGGGATGTGTTGGTAACCTAATACCAACTCAAAAAGTAAAATCTGCGAGACGAATTCAAAATCAGACCTAATATGGTGCGTTGTCTTTTACACCAGTGCCCTTGTATGAATCCAACTTTTTTTTTTTCGATTACCCAGCTGTAAATTAGAACGTCGACTGGATCCCCTCTCCTTGGTTGATAGCAAATCAAAGAGAATGGTTACGTAAAACAGTAAAGAAGGATACGATAAACCATTCCGCTGTCATTCCGAATAATTCATAGAGAATGAAGAAATTGCATATTTATAATTGTCTGCGTTCTAAATTTACAAGAAATGAAAAAAGTTCTTGCTTTGAATCAACCGAACCCAGAGACCTAGAATGATGTTTCCCAGGCGGGATTCACCGTCTGTCCGATCTCTTCCATACTGGCCCTTGTTTATCCACAATATACCCTGTATTAAAATCAGTCTTCAATAGTTTTAAGCCACCCTTGATCTTGAAAACTGTGTGCATGACAAACTGTATATGATCGTTTAAAATAATATCAATAGGACATAACAATACGTAATGGTATTCGTAAGCCGGTGGAATATAATCTATGTCAAGAAGAGCAGAATTTTGCCAATAAAACGGCTATGTATTTTACAAATCTACCTTGAATGCTGTTGGTATATCGGGTCCAGTGCCCCTGCTATTCATCTCGGGGTTCTTGAAAAAATCCAGAGAAGGATTTGCAATGTAATCGATCTTGACTTGGCATCTCGACGCCAGTCGCTTTCTCATCGACATGATGTACCTTCCCCATCTGTTTTTTCTGCAATCATTTTCATGGCAACTGCTATGACGAGCTTTTTTTTTTCATGGTGCCCCGACCACGTCATTTTAACCGTGCTTTTAGATTGACATTTAGCTACCAAAGTTCTACTGTTGAATTAGTTAAATCTAACCGCCACTTCTACTTCAAGTTTCTTTTCTCGTACTTCCCAACATTGGAACTCCCTTCCGCTTACTTCCTTCCCTGAAAATTACAATCTTCAAAAATTTAAATGCAACTTCATTCGCCATCTTCTGTCTTCTCAAATCCGTTCCATTTTTATCCTTTCCGCAATCCACCCTATATCTAGTCTTTTCTCTTACTTTCTCTCACTGTACGAATGGCACTCCCACCTTGCTTGGGATAAAATAAATAGTGCTATAATAATTATTATCCATAAATGATTAAAAATATGTTATTTATGGCCGACTAAAAGTTTCTCCTCGGTCTGACAAGAAGAATTTCTTATAATTTATTGTTTATGACAAAAGACATGTTCGAACGCTTATTAAATCCGCAAATTATTTTTTTTAATTTAAAATTATCTATGTTTATAATTGTTAATGCCATGACAATATTACACTGGATAAAAATCTAAACATTAGGTTTTTTTTTTTTATATCCGTATATAAACACTGGTTCAACGCTAGACAGGTATTTCGTAAAATATCATAGAAAGTAAAACATTAAAAAATTAATCGGTTCTTTAAGACGTTGACTACCAGAGTTCAATTATGAAATCTGACTTCAAACATCAACTTTATAACAACCAAGTTCGGTAATAAACAATTTTTCTGGGTTGATTTATAGCTTACGCCGAAGTTTTAAATTTGTTTTCACACTAAAAATATCGTTACGAATAAACATCGTGTTGGCGCCCGTAGATGAAAATGTATCAGAAAATGACAAGACCCAGATAAGACGTAGTTGGTGTCATAATAAATTTTCAAATATCTCTTTTCCTAAAAGATGTACTCCTTTCGGAAACCAACATAGATGGCCATAAAAATTATTTTAAAAGATAAAAATAAAACGGTTAAATTAAAAACCTTCTATAATTCACAATAAATATTTAAATTAATTTCTGAAACTGAATTAAAATAATAAATGGTAATAACATTAAATAAAATATTCAGCAAGAATAATATCATTCATTTTCGATCATTAGGCATCAAATTACATCACTTCGCATCTTCCATAGTTTAACATGACTTTCACAGTGAGCAGGAAGAATATTTATGAGCGTTCTTAAATTTAAAAAGTTGGGGCCGAGCTGGAGCGGGGTAGGAGAAAATATGACTATAATTTTTCTACGGTATTTGTTCTAAAGCGACCAAAACTGTCTTGTCTAAAATTTGAATTCTACCCGCTAATTTTTATTCCAGGACAATATACTACGGGTAAGTCCTCAGTTATATTAGCGCTAAGTAAATTGAAACACGTATTTATTGTTTTGCCGTTTGAATTTCCAGTGTATATAAATGTAGAAGGAGGTGCTGAAAAGTTCCCGGCAGGACTAACGATGAATTCCCTCAGCCAAATGTGATATTTAGTTATTTGTTTATGTTTTAAGAAGTGAGTCGGGCACTTATGCACCAAATGAGAAAGAGACGGCTGAAATGTTTAGAACGATAATAATGAGAAAGGTGGGTTTGGAAAACATAACCCTCACGGGGGGTAACGAACCACTTAACTGACGAGGTGAATTTATTGTGTAGCCTGAAGTTGACAAAGACATAAATACTGCTGAGGGCCACAAAGGATAGGAAGTTGGTGAGATCCATGATCAACCCTGTCCTGGCGGAGCATATTACATAAAAGTAGTTGATATTGGTAAATATTCATGAAACGAATATTTCCTTTGTGAGAGTCTGTTTCTGTGTGTAAGAAAATTGTTTTATTTTTTTTTTTTTTTACGACTTATAAAACTTTTTGCAGTTTATTTAAAGTCAGAAAATATACCGTAATATTTTTTTTAGAAAATGATTTAGCGATACAAGTCTTACTAATTAACCCATAGCTGGGGGAGAATACGTGGATTCATTCCTTTTACCAAGAGTATTTTCATCTAAGTGAAAATAACGAACCCAACTGGAATTAGAACTCGACCCTCCCATTAACAATTCGGAGCCATTATACCATTATTAGTGTTGCGAATAAGTATGTTCTTCTTACGATAAAGAGAAGATGGGGAAAATACCACTCGCATGTTTAAGCTTAGAGTACTTGGTATTCTCAAGGGGTCAATCTCAAGGTACTAATCAGGCTCGAAATTGTTTACTTCGGTGATCGTTCGGAAACTGGTGTTTCAACGTGATATGGCCGTAAGGCCGTAAGCCTTATTTGAGAAAAGGTGATGGAGAGAAAATGTCTTCGATCCTTCTCTGGATTTTGTCAAGAACTCCGAGACCCGATATACCAACAGTATTCAAGGAACGGTTGAATGGTAGATTTGTAAAATACCGAATAGTTTTATTAGCAAAATTCTGCTCTTCTTGATATCTCTATATATAAAAGTTAGGATGTGTGTGTGTGTGTGTGTGCGTGCGCGCGTGTGAAATGCACGGCCGCATTTTTTGACGGATTTGCACCAAAATTTCCATGCACATTAGCGGGAAGGCCAAGACCGACTTTGCATTTCCCAACTCCCATCGATAGTGGATATAATCGATTTTTTCATGCTTCTACGGCAATTTTCATGTAGTTTGCGGCCATTTTCTACTGGCCAGAGTGAGAGCCTATAGCTGGCTGCCACGAATAGGCAGGAAGATTCTATTGGGCAGCGTGAGAGCCAACAGCTTATTGACACGAATGTTAACTAGCATGCTAGCATGCAAAAAAAAAAAATCTATAGCTGCATTCGTCACAAGTGGGAAAAATTTAAATCTGCATGGCACTTTACTCCAATTGGCTCATTCGCTTGCTTAAATTCAACGTTGATTCTGATTCCGCAGAACTGGGTTGGGTGGGAAAAATTATTTGTTGTTAACATTCTTTTTTCATTCGGTTTTTCCAGTTACGAGTCCTTTATTTTTAAAGCTGATCGTTTTGTGTTCATATTGTTTAATTCTTTTTTCGTAACAGATTTAATATTTAGTATTAGAAAAAATTCGCAATGTGAGATAGGCAAGGAGTAACTCATGTAGCAACAGCAGCACGGCAAAGGGAACTCCTTTAAAGGCAAGGAAGGGCAAAAATATTTTAAGTCAAGTGATAGCGATTGTTGTATGAGTCGTACGATTTTTGAATCAAGCCCGGGCAACGCCGGGTCATGCTGCTGGTAGGTTATATTCCACAGGTTTACGGATACCATTACGTATGGTTATGTCCTATTTATATTATTTTAAATGATCACATACAGTTTGTCATGCACACAGTTTTCAAGATCAAGGGTAGATTAAAACTGCTGAAGACTGATTTTAATAAAGGGTATATTGTGGATAGACAAGGGCCAGTATGAATGAGATCGGATAGACGGTGAATCCCACCTGGAAAATATCATTCCAGGCCTCTTGCTCCGGTTGATTCCCTGCAAGAACTTTTTCATGTAAATTTAAAACGCAGACAATCATAAATATGCAATTTCTTCATTCTCTATAAATTATTCGGAATGATAGCGGACTAGTTTATCGTTTCCTTTTTCACCTTTAACTTTTTACGTATCCATTCTCTTTGACTTGCTATCAAAATGCTTTCGCTATTAGCCGTTGTATAAATATCTACAAATGTCACTGTCATATATTGCGAGAAAACAGGACACAGCTATAAGACGTCATGTCTTCGACAAATGCGTTTTTTCATTCGGAAATCAATTTGCATTTTGCGCGAAAGATATCCGCGCGCTCAAATCTGAGCAGGCTCCAAATAATCAGGCACGTCCAAGACTGACGGTACTCCCTTCCTCTCGTTATCGCTTTTGCTCTCTCTCTCTCTCTCTCCTTTTTTTTCGTGGTGTTACTTTTATCATCTTTCCGTCTTGCTGCTCTGACCCGAAACAGGGCTGAATAAAAGCATATCGATGTTAGAAAGATGTCGCGCAGTGACAAGTAGGAATCCTCTTTCTGTTCAATGGCTTTCAGTCCCGACATTTTTAGTCTTTAACCCTTCCCCCACGCCCGCACCGTCAGAGCCAGTGAAAACCTTTCGGGTGGCGCGAAATAAGGAAATACCACTGATGCGTTTTAGTGACGGCTGCAGTGTTGACCCCACCTCTTTTTTCACTCGTGACACTTCTGAAAGTCGACTAATGGATTTTGAAATAGATTTTCTGTCTTCTTTTCCGCCTTGTCTTAACGGCTTTCTCATCGCCTTACACGTAAAACTCTTCTTTCATATCTATCTTCAACTCATTTTTCATTCTTTGCGCCCCTTTTGTCTGTCTTGTTGTTCTGACGTCTGCTATTTTCATTCAATGTTCTTAATTCTTCAGTATGTTATTTTTTTGTGTTGCTTTTGCTTTAATGAGTCTCTTTACCTATCTCTCTCTATACCTCTCTCTATACCTATTTCTCTCTATACCTATTTCTCTCTATACCTATCTCTCTCTATACCCATCTCTCTCCTTATCTATCTCTCTCATTACCTATCTCTCTCAATACCTATCTCTCTCAATACCTATCTCTCTCAATACCTATCTCTCTCCTTACCTATCTCTCTCAATACCTATCTCTCTCCTTACCTATCCCCCTCCTTACCTATTTCTCTCTATATCTATTTCTCTCTATATCTATCTCTCTCCTTACCCATCTCTCTCCTTACCCATCTCTCTCCTTACCCATCTCTCTCAATACTTATCTCTCTCAATACTTATCTCTCTCTATACCCATCTCTCTCTATACCCATCTCTCTCTATACCCATCTCTCTCTATACCTATCTCTCTCTATACATTTTCTTCCCCACCTCTATGTTTGCGTATTCTAACTCTTGATTTCTTCCTCACGAAGAAATTTATATTTTCCATTATTCTCTCTAAATAATATATTTGATTTTTTTTTCTTATCTTCTCTGTGTTCGATATCTGTTTGTAACAAACAAAATTCCTATTCATTATTTTCTCTGTATAATAACCCTTTCCTTTAATTTTCTGCCTGTCTCTCTTCTTTGATTCTGAGGGAATGTTTTGGCATTATTCTCTCTAAAGAAGTCTTTCCTCTGTTCAATTAAAATTGGATTTTGAATATCATTCTTGATTTTGTTTTTCCCTTCACAGAAAAGAAAGTTTTTCCTTTTATATTCCCTACGAATTTGTTCGGGCCTTCCGTGAAAAGTAGATGTTGAAGTACTTTTTTCAATTACATTATACTTATAAAATATTAGGAAAATCTATGGCAAAGTGGAAGAAGTTTTCGCTTAACACGATTCGCTCTTTAGTCTTTCATCGGACTAAAATTATATAAATTTATGAGATTGCACATGCGCGCAAAGAAGAGTGGGAGGTTGCTGAAATTCTAAGTTTAACTTCTTTTTTTTTAAATATGTTTCAGGCATATAATCCAGTCTATTTCATTTAGTTTCTTTTCCTTTTTTCATGTTTTTATAATTTTTTTAGTAAATATCACACACTGCAATAATAGACAATCTGCCCAGAAAGGTTAAACCTAGTAAGAACATTGACGTAAATTTTCTGTTGATGATCTAGCGATTCCAGCACTTTCTATAAGCTTTCCAACGAATTTATTCGTGCCGACCAAAACCAAAAAAATATTTAAGAATGTACTTTTACAATTACAGTGTAACCCGGATATAAAAGAAACCCGGTTATAAGAGAGATTTTCTCTGGTCCCAAAGTGTTCCCATACTTACCTAAACAAAATAGACCAAACCCGGATATAAGAGAAACCCGGATATAAGAGCCTTCTTCTCCAGTCCCGACAACTCTCTTATATCCGGGTTACACTGTATATTATACTTCTAAAATATCAACATATATTTATTGACTTGTATTTCATATATCTGTCCAGATTTCTGTGATGAGGTGTTATCATTATTTATGCTATTTCCGTGTGGACTATTGACCTTATATTTGTTGGTTGTTCTTATCACAACGTTTCGGCCGTTGTACACTCCGACCTTCATCAGTTATACGTCGACCCGGGTAACCGACATGGAATTCTTAACTGAACCTTTTATTTAATTTGGGGATTAGTATGTTCTTGTTCCACCACCTATGTCTATTGATATATCGTTCTTTTTAATACGGTTCAGTTATTGCGCGTCCTGTCTCCACCGTGTCCAAGTATATACTGCCCGGTCCAGGGATTGAACTCAGAATTACTCTCTCACCAAATTTACAAATCAACGCTTTAATCCACTAAGCTATTGTCTTTGGACTCCGTGGAAACAGGATGAGCAATAACTGAGCCATACCATGAATAAAAATCGAGAGATATGCAGGAAAACGGTAACAATCTACCCCCATATATTAAATAAAGAATTCAGTTTGGAATCCTCTGGTGGTTAACCGGGTGGATATTCACCTGATGTAAGCTGGAGGGTTCAAGGGACGAAACGTTTTGATAACAACAACAACAAAGATAAGGATATGTAAATACTTGATTTTCTTGTTGATATTTTATACTTTTTTGACGTGCCAGAAATTTTTTCTCGTCAGAGTTCATCCTTCAAATCTATAGATCAACCATCCGTCCTTGCATGGAATATTGTTGTCAAATATGGTCTGGTGCTCCCGCTGTACGTTTCAAGGTCTTCGACAAAATCCAGAGACGAATATGCAAAATGATAGTTTCTGATCTAGCCTCTAGTCCACAATCGCTATTCCACGGACGTGCCGTGGCCTCGCTCTGTCTCTTCTACAATTATTTTCACGGCAACTGTTCCGATGATCTACTTTCGTTGGTTCCCGGACTGCATGAATTTAAGCGAGCTGGCATCTCGGTCCCACCCTTTCACTGTCAAAACGGTTAAATGTAATCGTCTCTTCTACTCAAACAGCTTTTTCTCCCGCACTTCACGTCTGTGGAACTCCCTTCCCCTTACTTGCTTCCCCGATGACTATAATCTTTAAATATCAAAGTGTAATGTCAATCGACATCTGACACCCTGAGCTTGTTCCCCGTTCTTCTCTGTATCCTTTCCTCAAACACGCCATTTTACTCTTGTTCTCAATCCTCTGCAACCCCTTGCGTTCTAGTCGCACTTCCGCCTTCCTTAGAGCGAATCGCTTGAAAAACGATAATGATGTCAACTGCTCAATTTCACAATTATAATAAACCAATTTGAAAATGATGATACCATTTTAAGATGTATACTTTATCCAGAAAGACAATATATTTAACAGAAACGCCCACTGGTTCCGAATATGACACGAGTCCCTTTTTAACATGAGGCTCCACGTAAGGGATGAGATCAGAGTTCAAAATTGAGCAATAAAACAGCGTTTTTACAGCCTCAACACATAGTAGCCTTTCTGTTACGTTACGAGAAGGTTTTGAGAAGCGTGGAACAACTTCGTAAATGCTGTTGTTCCAAGGTCCACTCTAACTCGTAGTGCAGCACCTGTTAGAGTCCCAGCTATCGTGTTATGGTCCGGTTCCTTGTAGCACGTTGAAAGTCCAAGGTAGAACCAACAAAGAAAGAACTCCAATAGGTATATGGAATACACAGATATATTACAAACAGGAATATATACAGAGAGGTAGAAAGTGTTAGTACGAACAATCAGGTTTAGTAGTACTTGTTTGAACGCGACTCTGTTTCGGACTACCTCTGACTCGACTGACTGACTCGCTTGCTCTGACTGACTGACAGACTCCTGACGGACTTCAGACTGAACGGTATTTAGTCACCCCCCCCCCACGAGGGCATCATGTGGCACAAGGCCGGTTTAACGTGGGATCTCCGAGTCCGTGGGATCTCCGAGCCCGTGGGCTCGGCCAAAAATATGCCCTTTGAACCCGTACAAACGGGTTCAGGGTCGGTTTACCTCCCCAAAAGAGACTCCGCCCTTCGGCGTAGCCTCGTTCGGGTTCCTCCCACCCTCGAAGGCAGAGAGTTCAGCCGGTCAGCCGGTCGCCCGACTTCAGGCTGAACTCTCTGCTTCGTCTTGAGGCGCAGTATTTATTACGTATGGAATAGTCCATTATGTTATTATGGGTAAGGTCCCATGACATATAGGCAACTAGTTAACCCCCAAACTGGGGTCAAAACACTATGAAAGTATACTAGTAGATTTTTATAGTAAAAATAGCAGCAATATATTTTTGAAAAAAATATTACCAGTAATACTTTTCGAAAAAAAATGTTACAAGCAATATATTTGACTCCCAACAAAACACTCTTTACAAAAATACGCCAATACAAACGGATTTCTTAAAAAGACTATATATCCTGTTCATACGAACCTATCCTAAAAATTTTGTCGGCATTGAATAACTTATTAAGGTTGATATGCCGGAAAACAAAATAAACCTAAACCCTGATCTAAAAACTTATTTCTTACAAAGACTACATATTCTATTCATACGAACCTATCCTAAAAATTTTGTCGGCATTAAATATCTGAGTTTGATATGCCGTGAATTTAAATAAACCCAAAGCAAAACAAAACACCCACGCACATGAGTGAAATAGAGAAACTTTTATACGTGTGGATTATTTACAGACTTTCTTCTCTAAATATTTTTTTTGATTTGATATTTATTGTATGCCTCTAACCTCTCATTACTCAAACGAACGTCTATTGATCTTCCCTTGTTACGTTCATTCTTTCATTTCTTCCATCATTCATCCCTTTTTTGTTTATATTATTTCATTCTTTTTTTTTGTGATGTTGGACGGCTTCGCTTGGAACTTTTGTTATGTCAAGCGAAAGCTCGTTATCACTTCTAAAAATGCTCGTTATATTCGAGATTTCGTAGACGCCGGTACTAATAGTAAACGCCTTTCAATAATATCCGGACTAGTAATACTTGTTCAAGTAGTAATCGCCAAATATTATAATGATCAGTAGAGAATCGTAGTCTGTAGAGAGTGCACGTTTAGCAGTAGTGGATAGACAATAAAAGTGAATAGTGATCGTACAGTCATCATGCTACTTCCTATTTATTCACTTTCTTTATGATCACGTGATCTACTTAATAATGGAATCGCCTGTGTTATAAAACTGGCGATCCAGGTTCAAACTACAATATCGGCAACGACAATTACTCATATGCAACAATTCTCCTGTTCTCCATGATCATCTTGGTTCTTTTTTTTTTAACTCTTTTATTTCATTCATCTTTTTCTTTCATTCACAAATTTATACTATGCCTTTGTCTCGTTCATTCATCTTTTTCTTTCATTCACAAATTTATACTATGCCTTTGTCTCGTTCATTCATCTTTTTCTTTCATTCACAAATTTATACTATGTCTTTGTCTCGTTCATTCATTTTTTCTTTGATTAATTCCAGTTTTCTTACATTGACACTTCGTTTTTTATTCGATATCCGATGTTTTTTTTAAACATTCCATTCTCCTTTTGTTCTTCTATTATTTCTTTCAGTCGTCTCTCATTTTCCTTACCTACAATGATTTTTTTTCTTCCGTTAACTAACCTTTCCCGTTTCCTTCATTATCTGTTGTCGTTCTTTCATTCTTTCTTTGACTTTGTTCATTGGGAGCAATTTAAATGCTTCGTTTACAGTCTTCTTCTTTTGAACAAATTGCTTTCATTCCATTTTTGACCCTGGATTTTACTCCCATCTTCATTTTTTTTTCTTAATTTCATCGGGCACAATTCTTTATTCCAATTCCCATTATCGCAATTTTTCATGTTCTTTTTTTATTTTTACGTTCGCCTTTCCCGTTGCTCCCATAACAGTCTAATTTTAATCGAAATTCCTAGCCTGTTCTTCTTCCTCCTCTATTTTTCCTACCTATTCATCTCAGTAATCTTATGTTTGCTCGCATTTTTTTTTTCTCGCAAGTAAACACAACTGGTAAATCAGCCATTTTGAAGATTCTCCATTATGGCCGCTGCTATATTTTGAAGAAAGTTCTTGCAGGAAGCAATATTTTTATCATATCCCAGGTGGAAGACACGTATATTAACTAAACATTCCCACTCTGTTCACTTTTTTTTATCCAAAATATAATCAAACAAGACGTGTAAACGTCATTATTTTCAGCAAATCCTCGACTTTAGCATATCATTTTATAGACACTCTAAAATGGTGGCCCATCCACAAAACACGACAATTGCAAAATGTATCTTGGGGGTTAGAGATGCATTAGAGTATTCTTAAATTTTATCCTGTAATCAAGACGAAAATCTGGAGAACAAGGAATTTCTTTATTTTACTTTTATTTCTTTATTTTTTATGTTTTATTTTTTTTTTTTTTTTTTTTTTTTTCGGACAATTTTTTTCAGTCGTTTCTGATTTGATCTTTGTGGGATGAAAGATTCCTTAGTTTTTCAGATAGAATGCCAGACTTTTGCATCTGCACAAACTGGACCGCTTTTCATTCCAAGCAATATTTCAACACTCTAATCATTAACAAAAGACTTGTAAAGAAAGTATAACTTTGATTTGTAGAAGCTTGAACTGTACCACATCAATTTCACAAACATTTTCGTGAGTGGAGGTCCTCTGTGAATTGAACTTACGTGAACATACACTCGTTTCCATCTGATAGTTTTTTTGTTTTTTTTTTACCGGCTAATTAACTTGAGCCACATGCGAAGGTTCTATTCTAGCTTGCGTCCGTATGAAGAAAACTGGAAAATATTCGGTGCACATTCAAAAACTAAAATAATTATCGCAGGGGAAGTAAACTTTCTCGAGATAATAGACTTCGTGATAAACCCTATTTATCTGTTTTTTGGGGTTTTTTTTTTTTTTTTGGTGTGTGTGGGGGGGTACTCGTCACTTCACCCGATACTGTCCGCGGGTAAGTAAATGACACATGGAATATCTTTAGAACTATTAGGTTGGTGCAAAAATAATGACGTAATAATGTCGTTTTTGACCTTAAAAATACGTCAAAAACGACATTTATTACGTCATTATTTTTGCACCAACCTAATACTTCAGTTTTCTCTCAAAAGTAACGGTCAGCGAGAAATCTGACACTGCACCTCTTCTTATTCTGTAAGTTTCCCGTGACTCGTACTCTCATGTTGAATATGATCTGAGTATAGCGGCTTGGATTGAGGAATCGGAGAGCCGAGTTCGAATTCCAGTCGAATCCATTACATTCACTTATGTGCTAATACCCTTGGGAAGGATATGAATCCTCTTCTTTTCCATTCAGCGATGGATGAGTAAGTAGCAGGACAAACTGGGTTCTATAGCCTTGGATAGAAACTGGTCTACCGCAGAAAGAAATAGCGGAAAATATCTGCCTCGTCAGTCATGTATCGATAGATACATTATCGCCTACGCGTGTATCACGCATGGCATATAACTAACTGATATGAGCGCATGACTGAAATTCCACACCTTCCAGATGAGTGCCACTCGATCCCAAAAGTGTACGTTCAACAATATCAATGATAGATCTAACATATTTAGTTGTATGGATATGAGTTTGTGACCCTGGATTTTATGCTTTTGCGATCATCAAACTGAGTTTGTCTGATGATTGCAAAAGCGTGAAATCCAAGGTCACAAACTCGGATCCATACAACTAAATATATA